CTTTATAGGGACAAAGGGCCTGGGGCGGTGGGAGAGCTGACCTGGCGGGTAGTAATTGGCTAGGTTGGTTGCTGGGCAGGAAGGTTGCTGGTCTTGGGCCGGGCCAGGATAGAGTGAGATAAGGGACCCTCCCTGTGGGGGAGGAAGGGCCTTCCTTATCGGGAATTAGGCCCTTTCCACATGGCTGGGGAACGGGGCCAAAAGTCCTCTACCAGACAAAAATCACAATGAGACACCATCTCATGCCAGTCAGAATGGCAATTACTAAAAAGTCAAGAAACAACAGATGCTGCCAAAGCTGCAGAGAAATAGAAATGCTTTTACACTGTTGGTAGAAATGTAAATTGGCTCAACCATTGTGGAAGACAGTGTGGCAATTCTTCAAAGATTTAGAACCAGAAATACCATTTGACCTAGCAATCCCATTACAGGGTATATACCCAAAGGAATAGAAGTCATTCTATTATAAAAATAGATGCATGTGTATGTTAATTGCCGCACTATTCACAATAGCAAAGCCATGGAATCAACCCAAATGCCCATCAATGATGGACAGGAATAATAAAATATGGTACATCTATACCTTGGAATATTATGGAGCCATAAAAAGGAATGAGATCAAGTCCTTTGCAAGGATATGGGTGAAGCTGGAAGCCATTTTCCTCAGTGAACTAACACAGGAAGAGAAAACCATACACTGCATGTTCTCATGTACATTTGAGAGGTGAGCAATGAGAACACATGGACGCAGGGAGAGGAACAGCACACACTGGGGCCTGTTGTGGGAGGGTGGTGGTGGGGGGAGCATTAGGAAAAATACCTAATGCATGCCAGGCTTCATACCTAGGTGATGGGTTGATAGGTGCAGCAGACCACCATGGCACATGTTTACCTATGTAACAAACCTGCACATCCTGCATGTGTACCCTAAACTTAAAATGAAATAAAATTAAAAGACAAGGTTAAAGCATTATTTAAAATTAAATTAAAAGACAAGGTTAAACCATATTAAAGAACAATAATTAGATAAAAGAAGGCTTTGGTTTACAAAATGCTGAAATAATACTTTTAATTTTAAATCCTTTAATACTGCTCCCTTCCAGAGGTGCAGCTTTCTTCCCTCTCTTGAGCATGGCTCGGACTTAATGATGCACTTCTGATATGGCCTTGCTCTGTGTTCCCACTTGAATTTCATCTTGAATTTTCATGTGAATTGTAATCCCCCCATATTGAGGGAGGTACCACATGGGAGATGATTGGATCATGGGGACAGTACCCACATGCTGTTCTTTTTTTTAAGATGGAGTCTCGCTCTGACACTTGTCTGGAGTGTGATGTCACAATCTCGGCTCACTGCAACCTCCGCCTCCTGGGTTCAAGCAATTCTTCTGTCTCAACCTCCTGAGTACCTGGGATTACAGGAGTGTGGCATCACTCCTGGCTAATCTTTGTATTTTTAGTAGAGACGGAGTTTCACCATGTTTGGTCAGGCTGGTCTCGAACTCCTGGCCTCATGATCTGCCCACCTCGGCCTCCCAAAGTGCTGGGATTATAGGCATGAGCCACCACACACAGCCCCCCATGCTGTTCTAATGATAGTGGGTGAATTCTCATGAGATTTGATGGTTTTATAAGGGCTTCCCCCTTCACTCTGCATTTCCCTCTCCTACCACAATATGAAGTATTTGCTTCCACTTCTGCCATGATTGTAAGTTTCCTGGGGCAGCCTTCTCAGCCATGGAGAACTGTAAGTCAATTAAAACTCTTTCCTTTATAAATAACCCACTCTCAGGTATTTCTTTATAGCACTGTGAGAACCAGCTAATACAACTTCCAACAGATACAGTAATGATGACATGACAGTTCGTGACTCTGGATGTAGAACATAAAACTCACTGCGGCTTCCACTTTCTCTCTCTGTCTCTGGGATCATGAGCTGTGGGGGAAGCCAGCTGCTGTGCTATAATCTGCCCTGCAGGAAGGTCCATGTGGCTAAGAACTGAGGACTTCTGAGACCAGACAACAAGAAACTAGGCCTTTTCCAACAGCCATGTGACTGAGCCATGTTTCATGTGAATCCTCAGCCCCAGTGAAACACTCAGATGATGGAGCCCTGGCTGACAACTGGACTACAACTTTGTGAGAGGAACTCAGCCAGAAGCACTCAGGGAAACCTCTCCTGGATTCCTGACCATTGGAAACTGTGGGAGATGATGAATATTTGTTGTTTTGAGCTGCTAAGTTTTACATAATTCGTTATGCAATAGTGAATAACGAATTTTCACAAGAAAGTATGTATTATTACACATTAATTTGCATTTGCTCTAAATTTATCATCATTATTATTTTTGAGATGGGGTCACGCTCTGTCACCCAGGCTGGAGTGCAGTGGCATGATCACCATGCACTGCAGTGTCGACCTTCTGGGCTCAAGGGATCCTGTGACCTCAGCCTCCTGAGTATCTGGGACTATAGGCACGAACCACCATGCCTGGCTAATTTTCTAATTTTTTTTTTTGTAGAGATGGGGGTTTGACCATGTCTCCCAGGCTGATCTTGAACTTTTGGAATCAACAAATCTGCCTTCCTCTGCCTTCCACAGTACTAATATTGCAGGCGTGAGCCACCACACCAGGCCTAACTTAACTATAAGATATTAAACATGTAACTTAGTTGTAAAAGGTAAGGAGAATTTCCATGGCTGAAGAGGATGTATTTTATTACCGTTCACAATTTTCACTTTACTTGAACTTCAATTTCCTACTGTGTCTCAATTAAACACAAAAGGAAGATCCAACCCTTGCTAGGCTGATTCTATGATGGCCCCAACAACCATCTCCTGGTCATTCACCTTCCCCCAGTTATTCCCCCAACTCTAATGTAGGTGCTGCTGTGAAGGGATTCCGCAGATATAGTTAAGGGCGTCAATTAGTCCACTGTACGCCGGGTTTATTCTGAGTGGACTGTCCTAATCAGGTGAACCTGGGAAAGGACTAGGTCCTTCCTGAGCATAGAGATTCACAGTGTGAGTGGGATTCAGCATGAGGGGTTTCCTCCACTGTGGGCTTTGAAAATGAAGGAGCTGTGTAGGCAAGAATGCTGGTGGACACCAGGAATTGAACACTTCCCTTCATGTTCTCTACCTTGACAGCCAGCAACGAACAGGGACCTCAGTCTTACAACTGCCAGAAACTGCATTCTGCCACCTCTGTATCAGCCTGAAGAAGGATTCAAAATGAAAACACAGCTTTGGGAAGTCCAGAACAGATTCCATCCATATCTTGCCCAGACTTCTGACTAAGGAACTATAAACTGTTCAATGGATGTTGTTTGGCCTGGAATGGTAGTGCACACCTGTAATCCTAACATTTGAGGAGCTGACACAGGGGGATCACTTGGAGCCAGGAGTTTGAGACCAGCTAGGATAATGTAGTGAGACACTTGTCTCTACATTTTTTTTTTTTTTAATTAGCTGGATGTGGCGGCACTCGCCTGCTCTCCTAGCTGCTCTGAAGACTGAGGCAGTAGGGTCCCTTGAGCCCAGGTGTTTGGGACTGCAGTGACCGATGATCATGTGTCTGCGCTTCACCCTGGATGACAGAGGTATAACTCTGTCTCTAAAAATAAATAAATCAACAATAAATGGGCATTGTTTAAGGCAAATATTTGCGAAAATTTGTTACCCAGTCTTATAAAATTCATTAACAGGCTCAACAGACTCATGGAATAAATTGATGAATTGATATGCACACTAGTTACATAAAATAAAATGTCTTAACTTTGTCAGTGTTTTACATTTTGTAATTTTCTGTGGTCCATTTTAATACACTCATGTTTCAATCACTCAGTCAACAAAAATTAATTTAGTGCCTACGCTGAACCAGGTATGCCCTCATATATTCATGTGCCTGACATTCTAGAAGCTTCACAAAATTGAGGTGTTTATGTGGAGAAATGACAAACTCTGATTCACAGTAGCAGGATCACTATGGAGAGAAGTCATCATAGTAGGTAATGGGACAGTGCTAGAGCCACTATTCGGGAGTGACAGGGTGGTGTGGAATAAAGGGAGAGGAAGGCCTGAGGGACGAGAGGGATGGAGGGAAGGGCTGGAGAAGCAGGAGGTGAGGAGAAGGAGCAGAGGGAAAGAATTTGAAGGCAGCAGAATTCTCAGGTTTAAACACATTTTTTTATAGATTTTTAACACATCCATCTACAGAGCCTAGCAGGGTGTTCTTTGCAGTTGGGCTTTAATACCTTATGTAGGTCTGCCTAAAGACTAATTGTTTCTTATGTTAATCAGGTTTAAAAAATACTAAGTGTTCCTATAAAATAAATACACCACTCAGATGCGGACACTTCCTAAAAACAGGCAGTGCATGAGCACTGGTGGGGGGCATTGTCACTGCACTGAACACTTGCGACTGTGAGGTGAATGAAGTCTGTACTGGCTCCTGGTTGCAACAGTGTGCTACTATGTCCTGGACTCACGCAGAAACTCAGGTCTATGGAGTAAAGGTAAATTTAAAATACAACAAGCGGGAGTCACAGATACATTGTCTGGGAAGGTGAAACAGGAGCTTTGTGAGTCCTGTTGTAATGCTTTTAGACACATTTATATATGAAGGGGCCAAAGTCACATTTTTTTTTTTTTACCAATTAGGTTCCTGATCATTCAGGAGTTATCAAGATTCTGCTGCCCACTGTAGTTAATAAACAAAAAGCAAACTGGTCTCTATGCTATCTCATGCTCTCAGGCAAAATTTTTCCATATTTGGACAACAAGAACAAAAAATTTTGTCTCTACACCTCCATTCCCAGGGCGAGTTCATTCTCTCGTAGCAAGCTTCCTCGGGTGAATTTTCTTCTAAAAGAGTCCAGGGGGACAGGTAAGGAGTGGGAGGCAGGGAGTCCAGTTCGGGGACGGGGATACCGGATGAAAAGTGAAGGGAGAGGGACGGGGCCCATGCTGAGGGTTTCTCTCTGGTTTCTCAGCAGCTCCTGGGCCAAGACTCAGGGAGACATTGAGACAGAGCGCTTGGCACAGGACGAGCGGGGTCAGGGCGAAGTCCCAGGGTCCCAGGGGTGGCTCTGACGGTCTCAGACCCCGAAGGCGGTGTATGGATTGGGGAGGCGCAGCGTTGGGGACTCCTCATCTCCGCAGAGTTTCTCTTCCTCTCCCAACCTGTGTCGGGTCCTTCTTCCTGGATACTCACGACGCGGACCCAGTTCCCACTCCCATTGGGTGTGGGTTTCTAGAGAAGCCAATCAGCGTCGCCGCGGTCCCGGTTCTAAGGTCCCCAGTCACCCACCCGGACTCAGATTCTCCCCAGACGCCGAGGATGGCGCTCATGGCGCCCCGAACCCTCCTCCTGCTGCTCTCCGGGGCCCTGGCCCTGACCGAGACCTGGGCAGGTGAGTGCGGGGTCGGGAGGGAAACGGCTTCTGCGGGGAGGAGCGAGGGGCCCGCCGGGCGGGGGGGTGGCGCAGGACCTGGGGAGCCGCGCCGGGAGGAGTGTCGGCGGGTCTCACCCCTCCTCGCCCCCAGGCTCCCACTCCATGAGGTATTTCAGCACCGCCGTGTCCCGGCCCGGCCGCGGGGAGCCCCGGTACATCGAAGTCGGCTACGTGGACGACACGCAGATCGTGCGGTTCGACAGCGACGCCGCGATTCCGAGGATGGAGCCGCGGGCGCCGTGGATGGAGCAGGAGGGGCCGGAGTATTGGGAGGAGCAGACACGGATCGCCAAGGCCAACGCACAGACTGACCGAGTGAACCTGCGGATCGCGCTCGGCTACTACAACCAGAGCGAGGCTGGTGAGTGAACCCCGCCTGGGGCACAGGACACGACCCCTCCCCATTTCCCACCGACGGCCAGGGTCGTCTCGAGTCTCTGGGTCCAAGATCCACCCCGGGGCTGCGGGACCCGCCCCGCCCCGCCCCTAGACCCGGAACAAACACAGCCGCCTTTACCCGGTTTCATTTTCAGTTTAGGCCAAAATCCCCGCGGGTTGGGCGGGGGCGGGGCTCGCTGGGCGGAGCTGACGCAGGGGCGGGGCCAGGGTCTCACACCTTCCAGAGGATGTATGGCTGCGACCTGGGGCCGGACGGGCGCCTCCTCCGCGGGTATCACCAGCACGCCTACGACGGCAAGGACTACATCGCCCTGAACGAGGACATGCGCTCCTGGACCGCCGCGGACACGGCGGCTCAGATCACCCAGCGCAAGTGGGAGGCGGCCAATGTGGCGGAGCAAAAGAAAGCCTACCTGGAGGACGAGTGCCTGGAGTGGCTCCGCAGATACCTGGAGAACGGGAAGGAGACGCTGCAGCGCGCGGGTACCAGGGGCCAGGGGGAACCTCCCTGATCGCCTGTGGACCTCCCAGGCTGGCCTTGCAGAAGGAGGGGAGGAAAATGGGACGAACACTAGAATATCCCCCACCCCCCCGCCCCCGACCTGAGGGAGAGGAATCCTGGGTTTCCAGATCCTGTACAGAGAGTGACACTGAGGGCCTGCCCTGTTCTCTGATACAATTAAGGGTTGCAGTCTCTGAGGGAAAGGAGGGGAAGTCAATCACAGGAATACTGATCAGGGGTTCCCTGTGACTCCACAGCAGCGTTGGGCACCAGGATTTTTCTCTCCTGCCTTGTCCTCTGCCTCACATTCAATATGCGTGGGGGTCTGACTCCAGCTCCTCTGAGTCCCTTGGCCTCCACTCAGATCAGGGCCAGAAGTCCCAGTTCCCCCCCTTGAGACTAGAACTTTCCAAGGAAAAGGGTATTATCTCAGGTGCCTGTGTCCAGGCTGGTGTCTGTGTTCTGTGCTCCCTTCCCTATCCCTGGTGTCCTGTCCATTCTCAGGATGGTCACATAGGAGCTGCTGGGGTGTCCCATGAGAGATGCTAAGTGCCTGAATTTTCTGACTCTTTCCTGCAGAGCACCCCAAGACACACGTGTCACATCACCCCATCTCTGACCATGAGGCCACCCTGAGGTGCTGGGCCCTGGGCTTCTACCCTGCGGAGATCACACTGACCTGGCAGCGGGATGGGGAGGACCAGACCCAGGACACAGAGCTGGTAGAGACCAGGCCCATGGGGGATGGAACCTTCCAGAAGTGGGCGGCTGTGGTGGTGCCTTCTGGAGAGGAGCAGAGATACACATGCCATGTGCACCACGAGGGGCTGTCTGAGCCCCTCACCCTGAGATGGGGTAAGGAGGGGATGGGACGTCATACCTTTTGGGGAAAGCAGGAGCCCCTCTGCAGCACTTCAGCAGGGTCAGGTCTGGGACCTGGGGGTCAGGGCCCCTCACCTTCCCCTCCTTTCCCAGAGCCGCCTTCCCAGCCCACCATCCCCATCGGGGGCATCGTTGCTGGCCTGGTTGTCCTTGGAGCTGTAGTCACTGGAGCTGTGGTCACTGCTGTGATGTGGAGGAAGAAGAGCTCAGGTGAGGAAGGGGTGAGGAGTGGGGTCTGAGTTTTCTTGTCCCACTGGGGATTTCAAGCCCCAGGTAGAAGTGTGCCCTGCCTGGTTACTGGGAAGCATCATCCACACTCATGAGCCGACCCAGCCTGGGCCCTGTGTGCCAGCACTTAACTCTTGTAAAGCACCTGTGACAATGAAGGACAGATGTATCACCTTGATGACTGTGGTGATGGGGACCTGATCCCAGCAGTCACAGGTCACAAGGGAAGGTCCCTGCTGAGGACAGTCCTTAGAAGGGCAGTTGGTGCAGGACCCACACCTGCTTTCCTTGTTTTTCCTGATCCTTCCCTGAGTCTGGAAGGATTTCATTTCTGGAAACTTCTCTGGGGTCCAAGACCAGGAGATCCTCTACGACCTCATGGCCGTGCCACCTTTCTGACCCCTCACAGGACATTTTCTTCCCACAGATAAAAAAGGAGGAAGCTACTCTCAGGCTGCAAGTAAGTATGAAGGAGGCTGATCCCTGAGATCATTGGGATATTGTGGTCAGGAGCCCATGGGGGAGCTCACCCAGCTAACAGCATTTCCTGTAGGCTCTGACCAGGTTTAGTTTTTGTTCTACCCCAGGCAGCGACAGTTCCCAGGGCTCTGATGTGTCGTCTCTCATGGCTTGTGACGGTGAGATCCTGGTGGGGGTGGTGGGCTGATGTGTGTGGGTTGTTGTGGGGAACAGTGGGCACAGCTGTGTTATGAGGTTTCTTTGACTTGGATGTATTGAGCTGGTGATGGGTTGTTTAAAGTGTGACCGATATAAATTTGTTCATGAATTTTTTTTTATAGCATGAGACAGCTGCCTTGTGTGTGACTGAGAGGCAAGATTTATCCACACCTTCCGTTTGTGACTTCTAGAACCCTGACTTCTCTTACTGCAAAGGCATCTGAATGTGTCTGTGTCCCTATAGGCATAGTGTGAGGAGGTGGGGAGACCAGCCCAGCCCCGCGTCCACCATGACCCCTTCCCCACACTGACCTGCATTCCTTCCCCGATCACCTTTCCTGTTCAGAGACCTGGGGCTGTGATGTCTCCATTTGTGTCTCAACTTCATGGTGCACTGAGCTGTAACTTCTTACTTTCCTACTAAAATTAGAATCTGAATATAATTTACTTCTTCAAATTATTTCTATGAGAGATTGATGGGTTAATTAAAAGAGAAGATTCCTGGCCGGGCGCGGTGGCTCACGCCTGTAATCCCAGTACTTTGGGAGGCCGAGGCGGGTGGATCACGAGGTCAAGAGATCGAGACCATCCTGGTCAACATGGTGAAACCCCGTCTCTACTAAAAATACAAAAAATCAGCTGGGCATGGTGGTGCGTGCCTGTAATCCCAGTTACTCAGGAGGCTGAGGCAGGAGAATTGCCTGAACCCAGGAGGCGGAGGTTGTGGTGAGCAGAGATCGGGCCATTGCACTCCAGCCTGGGTAACAAGAGTGAAACTCCGTCTAAAAAAAAAAAAAAAAAAGAGTCCTGAAATTCGAGAGACAAAATAAATGCAAGACCTGAGAACCTTTCACAGTCCACGTGTTTCTTGTGCTGATTTGTTGCAGGGGAGGGAGTAGATGGGGATGTGCCCAGTGGGTGCTCAGGCCACTGTGGGATTTATGTGGTCACTGCTTGGTTTGTCATCTTTGCTGCTCCATTGTCCTTAGCCCTTCAGTAGACCCTTGCTTTTCCCACCCAAATCTGTGATCCCAGGGACTTGGATGTCACCTATGGTGGTCTCTACACATAAAAGTCCTTGTGGTATCAGGAGACACATTTTCAGTCCCCTGTCCCTCTTGCCCTCCTTCCAAGTTCCCTTCCTGGACTGGATTTTCTATCTTTTCCCCAAACTTTTTTTTTTTGAGATGGAGTTTCGCTCTTGTTACCCAGGCTGGAGTGCAATGGCGCGATCTCGGCTCACCGCAACCTCTGTCTTCTGGGTTCAAGGAATTCTCCTGCCTCAGCCTCCCGAGTAGCTGGGACAACAGGCATGTGCCACCATGCCCAGCTAACTTGAATTTTTAGTAGAGACAGGGTTACACCATGTTGACCAGGATGGTCTCGATCTCTTGACCTTGTGATCCACACGCCTAGGCCTCCCAAAGTGCTGGGATTATAGGCGTGAGCCACCGCGCCCGGCCTTCCCCAAACTTCTTAAAGCAGATACTTGCAGAGAGGAGGGCTCCTGTAGTTTCTCATCGTAGGTAACTGCTCTCTCGCCTACTCTTCCTCCTGCCCTGAGTTGTAGTAATCCTAGTGCTGCCTCCAACTTAGATTCATGTGTGGTTGGAAAATTGGAGCCATAAGCCTAGGGTTTTCTTTCCTGAAGAGAAAAATATGGTTGTGTGCTGCAGCGTGCAGGAGGGTTGGTGTGGGAGGAGGGAGGGAGGGAGGGCACACACGCAGCCCTGGTGAGAAAAGCTCTGGCAGCACTGATGTCAGTGTGAGATGATGTTGTGCTGTAGCTGCCACAAAACAGCATTTGGCCTGAGGTTACATTAATAAAGATATTGCCTTTAGAATAGGGAGGTACCCTTCAGTGATCATTCAACTGACATTTGTTGTCTGCTAGGTATATGACTATTTTCGCATTTAGAAAACATCATTAAAGTAACCAGGAAAATTTCCAGCCATCTGGTGTATGTGTTCTAGATGCAAGCTTGTCCAACCTGTGGCTCACAGGCTGCATGTGGCCCAGGACAGCTTCAAATGTGAGTACATTTTTGCTTATCTGTGGTGGCAGATATCATGAAAATTATGTACTTTTTTCTTTTTTCGATTTTTTTCTGCTCATCAGCTGTCATTAGTGTATTTTATGTGTGGCTCAAGACAATTCTTCACATGTTGCCCAGGGAAGTGAAAACATTGGACACCTCTGTAGGCAGATGACAGATACAGTATAAGCAGAGTAAGAGCAGAAAATGCTTGAGTTAGAAGGTGGCAAGTACTGTGGGGCAGGTGATCCAGAGTGTGGGCTGTGGGGACAGGGAGGTGGCTGCTGTGCTGGGTGGTCAGCATGGGCCTTGTTGCAAATGCGACCGTGAGGAGCTGTCCACAAGGATGACTGGGAAAGCTCTTTTCAGGCAGGAACCTTCAGTGCACTAGGGCAGGAAAGTGTCTGTGTTCCCGGAAGGAGGAAGAGGCCAGCAGGGCTGGACAGAGAAAAACTGAAATGAAGGCCGGGCGCGGTGGCTCTAGCCTGTAATCCCAGTACTTTGGGAGGCCGAGGCGGGTGGATCACGAGGTCAAGAGATCGAGACCATCCTGGTCAACACGGTGAAACCCCGTCTCTACTAAAAATACAAAAAATTAGCTGGACATGGTGGTGCGTGCCTGTAATCCCAGCTACTCAGGAGGCTGAGGCAGAATTGCCTGAACCCAGGAGGCAGAGGTTGCGGTGAGCCGAGATCGCGCCATTGCACTCCAGCCTGGGTAACAAGAGCGAAACTCCGTCCCAAAAAAAAAAAAAAAAAAAAAAAAAAAAAAAAAAAAAAAGAAAAACTGAAATCAGGTCAGAGATTTTGCCAGAGCAGGTAGGCCTGGAGGGTGTAGGAAGGGTTTTTTCATTTGCTATGAATGACACGGAGAGTTAGAGGACAGTTTTGAAAAGTGGGACATGGTGGGACTTAAACTTTGAAAGCTTCTCTCTAGCTGCTGTGCTGAGAACAGAATTGAGAGGTGGGGGACAAGTGAGGCAGTAGGGAGTTGGTGGGAAGGAGCACAGTATTCCAGGATGGAGACGCTGGTTACCTTGACTGGGGTGTGAGCAGGGGAAATGGTGGGAAGTGATGGGATTCCGGAAGAATTTGAAGATGGACTTCACAGCACTTGCTAATGGATTGCGTCTGTGGTGTGAGAAAGAAGAATCAAGGACACCCACAGTGTTGGACTGAGTGAGTAGAAGGGTGGAGCTGCTGTCCGTGGAGACGGGGAGACTCTGGCAGGAGCATACGGAGGAGAGGGCATCGCAGGCATTCAGTGGAGGAGACATCTACGAGGAGTGCAGGTGAGGGGCCCGGATGCCTCTGCAGCTACAGCTTCACCACCCAGTTACTCTCCTGCTTCCACCCCCTGTGTCTCAGAGCCAAAGCACTGATTCTCCCTGGGCTGTCTGCACAGGTAGGTGGAAGTCAGGGAAGTTATGGTCTGCTGTTGATTATAATAAGCCATGGATTATTAGGTTTTCTCAGATAATTAAATAATAAGAAGTTGTAACTAGAACACTTATTCAGAAGTCCACAGTAATGCAAAGTTTTTATTCATCTAAAGAAGACAGCAGAAGAAAAATAGTTGAGCCAAAAAGACATAATATTAGAAGGCAGCAAATGACAATGTACAGACTTAAACCCAATGAGGTCAACAATGACATTAAACATAATGGACTCACACACTCCAATGACAAGACAAATAGTGCAGAGGGGGAAAAATAAGTCAATAAATAAATAGCTGTAGGCTGTTTCCAAAAGCCATAATTTCAGCAGAAGGTACAGAAACGCTGAAAGTAAAAGGATAGGAAAGAAATACTAGACACACATTCATGAAAACCACATGGAGATGCCATTTAGAAAAATTACAGGACATGGATCTTGTGAGACAGAGAGTCCATGTAGACAGCTCACAATGTCTTTACTTTTTTTCAGAGACAGGGTCTGTTGCCCAGGCTGAAATGCATTGGTGATATACCTCACTGTAACCTCTAACTCCTGGGCTCAAGCAATTCTCCTGCCTCAGCCCTCCGAGTAGCTAGGACTACAAGTGTGTGCCCCCACAGCTGCCTATAATGTCTAATTTTCTCATCTGATGTGGTGTGATCAAGGAAGCAATATCATGCCATGTATTTGACTTGCAGTAAGTATGCAACATATATCAGGGGAATGAAGAAATAAAACCACTTAGCAGTTCGAGCCATGTTCACATTTACATTTTACAGATGAGGAACAACATCTCAAACAAGTAAAGTAAAATAAACTGATTTACATCATCCAGAGCAGAATCGAGAACATCTTCCCTGTGCTAAAGTAATCAGAGCTCTACTGAGGTCATAGCAGGTATCATGAATTGCTACTAGGATTGGAACTGACACATTTCAAGATATACTAAACAAAGGGTGTGCAAGGATTAACTGAATGCAGAGATAAAGGAAGAAAATTGACTTGTTTAAAAGATGGACAGAATCCTTTTAAAGTGGCCATATGTGGACCAAAGCATAAGGCCCACAGACCATGTCATTGGTGAGATGAAGTGTCAGGTGGGAAAGTGCCTGACTACGTGCAGCTTCCAGATCAAAAGGGGATCTAAAAATCCTGGGATATTTTCGGTTGTCATATGGGGATTGGTGGGAGGAGGTGAGTGGGGTGCTCCTGGCAAAGCTCCCACAATGCACAGGACTGCCCACTCCACAAGGAACTCTCTGTCCCAAATTGTTAATAGTGCTGCTAAGAAACTCACCCCAGAGGTAAGTGCTGTAATGTCCTCACCATTTCACAGATGAAGAAACTGAGGCACCTGGAGGGAAAGTGTCAGTAGGACTAGAGCTGCAGGTTGAATCCAGGCCAGCTGGCTGCCGGGTCGTAGCTCCCTGGTTAAATCAGGGAACCAGAAACCCACCTTAAACAATCCCTGCTTCATGGTCTGTGGGCGCCCCCTGGTGTTGGTACTGGGCCTGTGGCTAAAAGATAAGGGAGTTACTCCTTCAGCCTCTCCAGATTTCAAGCCAAAACTAAAGCTCACAGAAAATAATGTCCACCTTAATTATCTCTCCAACCCTGTTTTTCCCAGTCCCAGGAAGTTTCCGCCCTCTACTCCATCAACATTGTCACCTGCCTGACGCACAGCACCTACCATGTGAGGAGTGAAAATGTCCCAGGACTAAAGGACAAGACTAGTTTCCATCTCAGCCATCCCTCCCCTCCCAGAGCTCTAGCTCTGTGCCAGTAGTGCTTAGGCTCTTAACCTGGGGCCCAGGAACCCACTCTCCCATGACACTGCATGCAAAAGTGATCTTATGTGCACACGTGACTTCATTACAGGACATTGGATATTAATACTCATCAGGACAGCCGGAGCTCAAGACACCACTCTTCTCCCAACAACTTGTGATCCTCTGAATTAAAGAAAGGGTGGAGCTTGAGGGAGGCCCTAACTCCAAGTCTTCTACCACGGCTAATGAAGTTCTAAAAAG